CCTGCTGAGTCTTGGGTGCTGCCGCCCGCCGCCGGGGGCATCGGAGGTGAGCTCTGCCGGGTGAGCCGTGCTGGGACAGACACGCCGGGGAAGGCCCCGCCATGTCCTCGCTAGTCTCCCCATCTGTTACCGAAACACCTGAGTGTACCGTTGGACGAACTGAACTGTTGGTCAGAGGCGCAGCGGTTAAGTCTTGCGCTATTGGCAGCCACTGCAGCCTGAGTCCATCCTGGCCAGGGAGCTACCCACACGGCACAGCAGACCTCTCCTGTCTCCCCGCTGCTCCCCTCAGCAGTGCATTTCAGTCAGTCTGCCTGTTCTGCTCCCCACTCTGTCTCTGGGGAGTCCTTTCACCCTTGCACCTCTGGCCTGCACCCCAGTCCTTGTATGCATGAATGAATATATTCATAAATTTTTTTTTCACAGTGCTGCGTCTTAGGCCCTGTGCCACCTGGGAGCCCCCCCCCCCCGCCAATAAATGAATGTTTAAAAAAAGAAGAGAGAGCTGAACGTGAGCCCGGCTGAGCGGAGCCCCCTCCCACCAGCGCCGAGCACTTCCCACCCAAAGGCTCCCCCGAAGCCTGTTCCTGACCCTGTCCTCACTGGACAGATGGGAAAAAGAGGCAGAGGGACACCTTGCCAGCGGGCGCAGGGCCGGGCTGTGACCGGAGCAGCTTGGTCCAGCCAGCTCCAGGCGGGCGGGGCCGCCACCTCCAGGGTCTCAGGGGACCCGGGTGCCCTCTGCCTGCCAAGTCCCCAAGGGACTTGGGTGATGGCTCCGCTTCTGCGCACACACGCCCTAAAATAATTTTGAATATTTTCTCTCCCCCTCACACATTAAGTTGACACCTAAAATATTTCATAGTTTAAATAGTTACAAAGAATACATTTCTGGCATATTGTAAATATTGACACTTAGAAATAAAACTGTCATATCACTTTCAAAAATGTAACCAGATGGAATATAAATACCATATCGATCTGATATCCAACACAACCCAGTGATGACAGCACACGCGCACCCTCCCTGTTCACATTGGGGGACCTGACATCTTTCTCATACTCTCAGAACCCAAATTCCACGTAATTCTTCCACAGATAAGAATAATTATTTCATTTATTTTTAAAGATTTATTTATGTGTGCATACAACAGGGGTACAGGCCAGAGGTGTGTGTGGTGAGAGGATTCACCAGATTCGGGGGAGCAGAACAGACAGATCACCCGAAGTACACTGCTGAGGGGAGCGGCGGGGAGACAGACGGGAGAGGCCTGCTGCGCCCTGTGGGCAGCTCCGTGGCCAGGCATCGCACTCAGGCTGCAGTGGCTGCTGATAGCTTCATAGTGCTGAGACTTGACCCCTGCGCCACCAGGGGGGCCCCGCAGACAATATTTTAAATCTGAAAGTCTCATTGACCTCTGCCTACTTTTCTATAATGACAATGTCTAATGAAATACGCATTATATGAAATATATTGGTTTTATTTCCTGTGAGGCTTTAGTGTAGAAGCAATTCTGGATTTATCATTACAATGATCAGTTCAGATTGGATGAAAACACACAAAATACTACAAATTAGGAATATTTGTGAGCCATAATCATTATGAATAATCTTGTGGGCAATGCATATCTTTTTTTTTTAAAGATTTATTTATTTATTTATACAAGAACTGGGGTACAGGCCGTATTTGTGGGTGAGAGGATTCACCAGAGACAGAGTGGGGAGCAGAACAGGCAGACTGACGAAATCCACTGCTGAGGGGAGCAGCGGGGAGACAGGAGAGGTCTGCTGCGCCATGTGGGACCCTTGCCGGCCAGCTGGGATCGAACCGGCATTGCAGAGGCTGCGGACAGCTTCACAGCACGGCGCTCAACCGCCTGCGCCACCAGGGGAGGCCCGCGATGCATATCTTAAAGAGGAGAAAGGGCTTTTTCCATCAGCCAGGGCAGCAGGGCCTGGACGACCCTGCCGGTGTTGCGGGCTGACAGCCGCGCTCACGGGTGGCACAGCGGTGGTGATCTGCTGCTGACCGTCAATTAGCTCCTCCTTCAGGGAGAGGAAAGCCAAGAAGTGGACATCACGTGGCCCTCAAAAGTAGCTGATGACCCTAGGAGCATGGGCGCAGGCAGGGTACCAGATGTTCACCCTGGGTTCAGGACACAGCCCCAGCTCTGGCGTAGGCCTGCCCGCCCAGGGCCTTTTAAAAGATGGAAATGGACAAACTGTGTCTCAAGCTCATATAAAATGGCAAGCGAGTTAGAAGAACCCAGAGGAAAATATCTTGAAAAAAGAACAGGACTAGATGACGCCCCCCAGCTGAGTGTAGAGCTGCAGGGAGGTGCCGTGGGCCAGAGAGGGTTCTTCGCTGGGACGCGTGGTGGGGGGTGCCCAGAGCCAGCTCTGCCCTGCGCTTCTGGAGGCCGGGGGGTCAGCCGGGGCGCTCCTGGAGGCCGGGGGCTCACTTGGGGCGCTCCGTGGCGCTGGGGTGTGCAGGTGTTGGCTCATTCGTGGCTCTGTGATAACGTGTTTCTGAAATGAAAGTTTTTATCATTTCTTTGAATGCATTTTGTCAAGCTCTTGGCGCTGCCAGCCCGCTCAGTCGCGGGGAGGCGGCTTACGCGCTGATTCGCGGCCAGTGCTGGTCAGACACCACGGACTCACTTCTGTCGGATGGGGACTTCGTCTTCCACCAAACGCTGATACAGATTCCCGGCACTATTATTCTAGAAGCCACTGAGGACAAACGAAGGCGAGCACTTTGTGAAATAGATGACTAAGAGCAGTCAAGACTAAATTGATAAAAATCTAATGTAATTAATGTATCTGTTTAATAATGTGTTGCAAGAACAAGAAAAACCCCAACACACCGGCCAGCAGGCCACAGCTGACCCCCTGGGGAAAGGCGCGTGCACGGTCTACTGCTGAGTTTTGACTTTTCAGATCAACTCAGGAAGAGCCAAGTATAAGGCTCGGAAATGACTCCGTCTTGCTAACCCTCATCATACGGCTTCTTATGCAGACAAGAGCTGGGGTACGGGCCAGAGGTGCAGCGGGGAGAGGACTCCCCAGAGACAGAGTGGGGAGCAGAACAGGTGGATCCACTGACACACACTGAGGGGCGCAGCGGGGAGACAGGAAGGGTCTGCTGCGCCCGTGGGCAGCTCCGTGGCCGGGGATGGGACTCAGGCCGCAGTGGCTGTGGACAGCTGCACGGTGTAAGACTTAACCCCTGCGCCCCAGGGAGGCCCTGATTTATATTTTAAGACCCACATGGGGAGCCAACGAGCTAAGGGTGGTCTTTCCTTTTCAAGGGTGGTTTGAAGAGACAGGCGAGTCGCACGCCCGGCCTGCCCCACCTGGACACCCGGGCGGTGTCGCAGGTTAGCCGACCCTGCCTGTCTGTGGAGACGGGTGAGGGCGGCGTGGGCCAGGTGAGGCTGGTGAAGCCAGGGCTGGCCCCGCTCCCCGTCCATCCGCAGGCTCCTCACGGAACCCAGGAGGGCCATCCCAGCCCCTGACCTCCTGTCGGGGAGCCCCGGCTCCGGGAGGGGCCGCCGCCGGGCCTCACAGTCGCTGTCCCTCCCTTGCTGCCATTTCCATTTGAAGGCCAATGGGTCAGAAGCCGGACACTGGCCGCGCCCTCCGTGCCGCGAGGTGGGGCTCACGCCCGCTCGGGGCTGGTCTTGCAGGGAGCGCGGCCGGTTAGAGGGGCTGAGATGGGGAGTCGCAGGGAGACCGGGTTCTGGTTTCCTCACAATGTCAGGGGCCAGGAGGGGAGCGGGGAGCCCTGGGGAGCGGTGGTCTCGGCGGGGAACCCCGTGGAGTGGGCACCCACAGAGCCCTCTCCGGTGGCGGGGACAGCCGGCTGGGGCGGGGACGGGCGCCCGAGTCTGCGGTCACCTGCCGCCTGCCGCCGTGCCCCCCGGGCGCGAAGCCGGGGGCGGGCCGTCGGGACGCTGCTGAGAGGCCAGGAGAAGTCGGGCTTCGGCAGCCCTTCCCTTGCCCGCTGCGGCAAATCAACGTGACGCGCCGTTCGCCATCTTCACCACCTGCAGCGTCCTCGGCATGGCGCGGCTCCGGGACTTTCCCTTCACCCCAACGGAAACCTCGGGCCCATTAAGCAGCTCCCCTCACCCCCCTCAGCCTTGGTGGCACCAACTGGCTTCTGGTCCCCAAGGACTCACTTGCCTGCAATTCGCCAATAAACAGGATCTGAAGGGAAACCACCTTTCCCTGGCACAGCTCCCGACACCCCTGCTCCCTACGCCCTCCATCCCCCGAGCGGGGCGTCCTGGGCGGTCAGCCTGACCCGAGCCCACACCCTGCCCTCCTGCGGGCAGCCACCCACTCCCCAAGCTGGGCCTGGGGGCGACGGAGGGCGGCCGCGGGGTCCCCCCTCTCAGGAGCGGGGGAGCCTGCGGCCAGCCGCTGCCCATGGACTCTGCAAGTCGCCTCAAGGACAAGCCAGGTGGGCCAAGGGGCTGCTGTGCGGACGGGGCCATCACCGGCCCCCCGCCCCCGACGTGGCCGCACCCCACAGCAGGACATCACAGGCACGGGCGCGTCTGCGCCTCACCGGCCGGCCGGTTCCACTGACCACTCTCGGGTGCGCTGGGCGGCAGCCGCTGCACACCCTGTTTCCTCCACGTCCACCTCTCCATGGCTGATCCCGCTGGTCGCCTTTGAGAGTTTTTGTGGCGTTTTAGAGTTTTCTTTTTTAAAGATTTATTTATTCATGCATACAAGAACTGGGGTGCAGGCCAGAGGCGTGGGGGTTGAGAGGATTCCCCAGAGACAGAGCGGGGAGCAGAACAGGCGGATCCACTGATACGCTGCGGAGGGGAGCAGCGGGGAGACAGGAGAGGTCTGCGCGCCCTGCGGGTAGCTCCCTGGCTGGCACCCGCGCTGCAGAGGCTGCAGACAGCGCCACGGCACTGAGACTCAACCCCTTGCACCACCCGGGAGGCCCTGAAACATTCTGAACGGTCTGAACAACCAAAGAAAGGCTGGCACACGGCAGTCACTGTAACACCTTTTTAATAGGTCAAAGTAGCTGTACAGGTCATTATATTCTTCCTGAGAATAATTTATATCCCCCAACAAACTAAAGGGAGGGTAGAGTTTTCAGAATTATTGAACAGAATGGATGGTGTAACTGGACATCGGAAGAAAACCAGGCCCGCTCTGCTGGCCCTTCCCCGGGAAGAGAGACGCGGCGAAGGGCAGTTAGCTCCGAGGCTGGAAGTCAGCATGGCTTTAATCTTCTTTATAAATTATATAAAAACGGAAACGGTGGTCTGGGAGCTTCTCCTCAGTGCAGCCGGAGTTGCTCTGGTACAAAGCATTTCTGCTTCCAAGAGAAACAATGTTGCTACAAAAACTGGCACATTATTCCGGTGAAAAGACCAAGTTTAGTGTGAGCTACAGCAGCTGCAGGAGCCTCACCCGCTGCAGCAGGAGAGCCGCAAGGGCTGCAGCGCTTTTCGGACACGACCCCCGTCTCCAACGGAGAACTTCTACATTCTCTGCAAAGTGGCATCTGCGAGCTGCAGCTGCAGGGGCGGGCGCGGCTCCCACCCGGCGGGGCAGAGGCCTCCGCCCTGGTCTCGGGCCTCCATGGCGCCTGCTCTTCCTCGACACGCCAGCTGCGTGGGCAGGACCCGGCCCGTGCACATGGTCCCGTGAGCCTGGCTCGGCGCCACAACTCCCAGTCTCAGAAAGCGCCACTCTGGATCCCGGACTCTTCTGGACATCATGATTAGACAAAAATCGAAACAAAAAACGAACCCAAATCAGAACGTGGTTGCACTTAGGAGAGCGGAGTTTCAGCGGCCACCGTCGGAGGTGGCGCTCGAGGTGCTGGGCCAGGACAGCGGCCCCCGCTGCTGGTGGACACTGGAGAGCACCCTCGGCCGAGGGCACGCGCAGGCTCAGTGCGGCCTCGTCTGCCCAAGCATTTTCAGTCTTGCTTGGTCAATGACGTCGAGTAAGTTTTTGGCGTCCACGGCCAGGGCGTGGGCGGCAGTCAGCATCTGCTTCTTGTACTCCTGCTGCAGGCTGGTCATCACGTACTGCTGGGCCAGTTTCATCTTGTTGATGAGCTCGCCCAAGTCGGAGTTGAGCAGCTTCTGGGCCATCTCAATCTGGAAGACAAGAGACCGGTGAGGGGGGGTCTCTGTGTGCCTCGCTCTGGGCCTCCAGGACCTTCTTCCCTTCAACAAATGTTCCCCAGACAGGAGGAAGGGAAAACTTAGAGGCCCCCGGCAGTCGTCACGTTCGTCGCCTCAGCTTTACTAACCTGTGAAGTGGCTGGCAAAGTTTCTAAAGAGAATCACCCAGCCCTGGCCTCTGTGGCCGGCACGGACAGCAGGACAGAAGGTGGCCTGCTGACAACCAGCTCACGCCTCCCCAGCTGTCGGGGCACGAGGATGGCAGGAGGCGCTCCCCCCCAAGACGCGACAGGACAGGGCTGACGCTGGGCTCGGGGGTCTCAGGGCCATCCTTTGTGGACCATCCACGTGTGCGCTCCATCAGCAGTGACAGGCCACTGGCCCTTCTCACAATGACTGAGCACTGAGAGCCCGTGGCCTGTAAGAAAGGCCAGTGCAGGGGGCTGTGGCCGGAGAGCCACGAGTGAGGAGGCAGGGGGCCCAGCTGGTGCGTGTCTCCTGCGGGGTCAGGGCTGGGCTGGCCCTGCGCCCCCTGGGCAGTGATGGCAGCATGGGAAGGGCTGCTCTTCTGGGACCGCCTGGCACAGAGGGTGGTGGAGGGAGTAGGCCCTATGGCAGGCTCCTCCTCTTCTTTTAAAGTAATAATTGAAAGATCTAGGCAGCAAGGAGAGAGGGGCCAGGCAGCTGCAGAGGCTCTCTCAGGCTTAAGCTAGTTGGGCTTTGGAAGAGGTCAGGAAGCCAGTTCCTGCCTCTGCCCAGCGTATGGGGTTTCTCTGCTTATTGGCACCACTTTCACATGTTGTGGAAAACAGCAGGGCCCCAGCAAAGCAGAAAAGCCAGCCCTCCCCCAGGCGGCTGGGCCACGGAGTCTGTGCAAACGTCAGCAGTGCGTTGAGTGGCAGGTGAGTCGATGCCGCTCAGAGGACCCACCGGCTCAGCACCTGCAGGACAGGGGTGCCTGTGGGAAGGACACCCCAAGGAGGACCCAATATCACCCCGTCCAGCCAGGAAGGAGCAGCCCCTTTACAGGATGTCCCTCCACTCAACGGGAGGAGCATGTCCCTGGGGCCGGCCCAGCTTCTGTGGGCGTCAGTGCCGTGAGACAGGCAGGCAGGGAGGACGTGGCTGCGGCAGGGACCGGGCGCCAGGCGGCTGCAGCCGCAGAAGCACACCACGACGGCAAGCATGCTGCGGAGAGACAGCTGCGGCTGGAGACGGGCCGTGAAGAGCAGACGCAGACCACGGCTGAGGGCAGGGGCACGGCACAGGCCCGCCTCCAACGGTTCCGAAACACGCGCGTGAGGCACCGAGGGACACGAGCAGGTGTCGGAACACGCAAGGCGGGACTGGCTCTGGGGTCTGGTGCTGTGCTGATGAGAGAGACAGAGCCCGGGGGCTGGCACTCGGGAGAGGAAGAAAAGTGGTGGCACTGGAGGCCACAGGGGGCCTGGGGCCCGGGCGGCACACAGCCACAGTGCCCGCTGTAAAACACGCAAGTGTGGCCTTGAATTTGTCATAAAAATGAAGCAAAATGGCCAAAAATTGGCAGAAATGATGACTGCTCCTGGGAGACAGAATTTGGGGGGGAGCATTGATTCGTCAATAAAATGTTAAAACATGTCTATTAATTTAAAAGGACTTCTCAGATGTGGCTGCTGGGGGGGCGGTGGCGGTGAGAAGCCTGCGAGCGCCCCCAAGCCCCTCCCTGGATGCTGCCGGGTTGGGACAGAGGTGGGACCCCGACACCCAGTGTCCTCAGGCCACACCGCATCCTACCTCTCGGTGAGTGCTGGCTGGCAGGGCAGGGACGGTCTCATCCACAGTGGCCAGTAGCGTCCTCAGGGCCAAGCCGACTTCCTGGGGGAGGAGACGGGCCCGGGTCAGTGCAGGAAGTGCCGGTCTTTCCCGGCAGCTGTAGGGATTTTACGTCCTTTCCACCCCAGCGGCAGAAAACCAACCGCCCCCAGGACCAGAAAACCAACGCCCCCGTTAAAAGGGGCATTTCTCCAAGGGGAAACACAGGGGTCCCGGCCCCACGGAGCTCCGGTGGCAGACGACCAGGGAAACCGGACACTGCAGCGGGGCTGCAGCCCCACACAGGCCAGAAGGGACAAGTGCTGGTGAGGACCGGAGCCCTGGGGTCCGCACACGCTGGGCTGCCGCTACGGGCACAGCGTGGTGTGTCCCCAAGAAGGAGAGAAGCACCGCGTGGCCTGCTACTCACTGCTGAGTCCACACCCAGGACGGAGAGCAGGTCTAGCAGTCCTCCGCCCACACCCACGGGGGTCTTGTTCAGAGGCGCAGGGTGGGGCTGCCCAGGTCCATCAGTGGGTGATGGGCAAAGCAGGCCAAGCCCACCCACACGGTGAGGACCTGGCCTCAGAGGAGGGGACTGAGAGATGCGCCCCGATGCGGAGAAGCCAGACCCTCTGCTCAGCACCATCTCGGGAGAAGCACTAGGAAGGTCAGCTTGACAGGGTGCGCGGCGCTGTGGCCCGGGGAGGGCGCTAGTGTCCGCGGGGACAGCGTAGCCGCGCAGGCTGGAAAGAGCTTTGCAATGAGCCGTGGAGCCCTGCATGCACCAAGCACGGCTACTCTTACGCCATTTCAGAGCCCTGAAGGGTAAAGCTCAACAGCGCCCCGGGAACTGCAGGGCGCCTCCCAACAAAATGCCACCACTTCTGGAGCCCAGCATCTACCCTGAGCTGTCACGACCTGCTGGACCACCGCACTACCTGTGAGTAACTGGACAGGCCAGCCCACAGCACTCTCCTCCAGGGGTTCCTCGGCCCCCATCAGGGGAAAGGCAGTGCACACCCAATGCCCCCTCGGCTCACAAGAGGAGCGCAGACCCGCCTGCCCTCCGGGACGCCCCCAGGCGACCCACCCGCCTTGTCGGGACCTCACAGGCAGCTCCAGGGCGGCTGCTGCACCCTGCCCAGCAGGCATGGTCTCGCGTGCGCGCGCGGGGGTGGGCCTCACCTTCACCATGGGCACGTACTCCTCTGGCGGCGCCGGCTGGATCTTACTGGACATCTCAATGACGGCCTTCACCAGGCCCGTGACATTCTCGTACACCCTGTCGTTGGAGCGGTCCAGGTTGGCGGTGGGCGGGGGGCTGATCTCCTGGGGCTGCAGCTGCCAACACACAAGGCGTCACCCGCTGCCCACCAGGGGGCATGTGCCCTGCACTAAGCCAGTGGCTCTTTAATCCGAGATCAGAGCAGGTCATCGCCCGCTGCCAGGGCAGCTCAGTTGGAGGATGACAGTATCAAGACTCAGCCACGTGACAGACAAACGAGGACCTAATTGTCTCCAACTCTGAGCTCAGTTAAAGGAAAAGAGCGGGAATCACGCACTACACTAAGAGCCCCAGATTCTTTCAGAGAGTGATTCGATGTCTCCCCCAATCATCCACCGAGAGAGAAAGGATATGTGTCTTGCATCTGAGGGTTTGGGGAAAGTTGGCTGAGGGGCCAAGCACATCCAGATTGGGAATCTCCACTTAGCTGTGTCTGCGTCTCGCTGCGGCACAGTGTGGGCACCTGCTCCCTGGCGGAATCATGAGCCTCTGAAGCGAAGCTGCACATCTGGGGCCTGTCAGGGACCAGCTCTGGGCCCTCAGCAAGGAGTGCAGGTGCAGATGCCACCTGGGACCAGATGGACACCACCCACGATCCAGGCCGACTGCGGCCTGCTGCCGGAGCTCAGCCCATTTCTGAGGCCTGACTGGCCTTGCCAGGTAGCCCGGACCGTGGGTGTTCCACGTCTGGGCACGGGAGGGAAGGACAGGAGGGGTCAATCAGCCGCAGGAGCTCAGGGCCTGTTCTCTGGCGATAAGACGCTGTTTTGGGAATAGACTGAGCAACAGCACCCTCAAGGCCTCCCGATTTCCCGCCCAGAGCCACATGCAGAGCAGAGCGCTGGGGGTGATCAAGAGCGGGACAGACACACAGACACCATGTGCTTACCCTCCACGGCTAGTGTCGAGCGGAAGGTGAGGAAAAGTTAAAAAAATTTATCAGAAAAAAGGAAAAAAGAAAAACAATATTAATAAAGGCAGCAGACAAGTCCCCCATCAAAACATACGCAGAGCTGAAGTGGCCTCTGAGGCTGCCTGTTAGCGCCGCTCGCCACGCAGGGCCTGCGTGGCCCCAAGCCACCGTGTGCGAGGGAACATGCAAAGCTGGGGCAGCGACCTGGCAGCCAAGCGAGATACAGGGCCGGGTCTCCAGAGAGCAAGACGCGGCGGACGAGCCGGGGTGGGTGAGGGCAGCGCCGGGTGGAGGCCTGGGGCCACACTATATGTGCCGATGTCCTGCCAGTGGGCCTGGGCTGGGGCTGGGCTTGCAAACGTGGGGGCTGATTTTAAAAATAAAACTCAGTAAAAGCTTTTAAAAAACTAATTCTGTGGGTCTCCCTGGTGGCGCAGGGGTTAAGTCTCAGCGCTATCAAGCTATCAGCAGCCACTGCAGCGCGAGTTCATCCCGGGCCAGGGAGCTACCCACATGGTGCGGCAGACCCTCCTGTCTCCCTGCTGCTCCCCTCAGCAGTGGATTTCAGTTAAGTCTGCCTGTTCTGCTCCCTACTCTGTTTCTGGTGAATCCTCTCACTCCCTGCACCTCTGGCCTGTACCCCAGTTCTTGCATGCATAAATAAAAATAAATCTTTGGGAAAAACCCCCTAATTTTGTGGTTTAGTTCCTTTGCTTTATTTTTTGAAAAAGATTTATTTATTGTGCATACAAGAACTGGGGTACAGGCCAGAGGCGCAGGAGGGTGAGAGGATTCACCAGAGAGAGCGGGGAGCAGAACAGGCAGATTGACTGAAATCTACTGCTGAGGGGAGCAGCAGGCAAAACAGGAAGGGTCTGCCGCGCCATGTGTGTTGCTCCCTGGCCGGCCAGGGATCAAACCCGCGCTGCAGAGGCTGCAGACAGCTTCACAGCGCTGTGCTCAACCCCGGTGCCACCATGGAGGCTAATTTCCTTTGCTTTAAACTCAGAAGTTTATTGATACTTCCCCCTCCTGCCCTGCAGCTTAAACCAGGCTACCCCACCACAACTGAACAGCAATGAGGTAAACTGGGGAAAAGGGAGGTGTCCTTTCCTGAGCACTGTCCAAGACAGCACGCCCTGGAGTAAGTGGAGCCGCCCTCCACACCACTCCCTCCTGGGTGCTGAAGAGGCAGCCCCCCTGGGGCCCTCCCCACGCACCAAGGACCACGAATGCAGCATCAGCGCCGGGGCTCCCTGAGGGTGGAGGGAGGGTGCTGGCACTCCAGGCTCAGGGTGCTTTCTCCACCCTGCCTAAATCTTCTGTCATCTATGCCCTCCCTCTGGCCAGTTCTTGTCACAGATGCTGCCGCTGTGCTTCCAGGGCCCACTCACAGGGACGGAGTGGAGACCGGAGGCGGCAGCCGCGGCTTCCCAGTCTTTGGAGCATGACAACCCTGAGACCCCTACAAGGGAAGTTAGGGGGACCACCCCTGGGCACAGTGAACCCCAGCCACTGGGGGGTCGGCCATTCAGAACAGACCTAAAGCCAACGGGAAAGCAGGCTGGCTCTGGCTCACGTCATCTGATGCGTGACCCAGCTTCACAGAGTGTAGGCAAGCACTTCTGTGCCCAAATGACGTTCCTCTTTTGGGCTGATTGGATAACTGCCACCAAACCAAGGGGGAGCGAAGACACAGATGTGCACTTCACACTTAGTGCTGAGAAGTCTCCACCTGCCCTCTACTGCGCATGATGTCCTGTTTCCCTGCACCCAGGTACGTCTCAGCCTGGGAACCCAACTCTGGCAGCTGGAGACACGGCAGAACGCTGAGCTGGTGTCTCATCTACCCCTAGAGTCGGCTTTTCACTGCAAAAAATGCATTTTTGAAAGTCAACTATTGTGTCTTCTGAAAATGAGAAAGGTTCCGTAACCTAATTTCCCCTTGCCTTTCTAACACTGATCAAGACAGCATCCCAGGAAGGGGTGTCCTCTGCCACTCCTCCCGGGCACCAGTGTGGGCCCTGGCGGGGCTCCCTGGCACCTCTGGCCTGCTGGTACTTGGGTCACAGCCCACAGCCCCTCACGCCCTGGCCATGCCCTGCAGGCCACAGGCGGGAAATGACATATTCTCTCCCTTGGCCTACCTGACGCCAACAGGCCACTGCGACCAGGAACCAAAGGCCCACAGCACGTGACGGCCAAGTGCCACCTGGCCACCAGGCCACATGGACACGCCCGTTAGCCTGTGGCCCTGGCCATTTCAGAGGAAAGATGGGGAAAACGAGACCACGCCAATCCTGGGAGGCAGACCTGTGGCTCTGAAGCCCTGGGGAGGGCCCGTCAGGGTCCAGGAGGGGGCCACGGGCAGGGCTTGTTTTCACCTGGCACCATAGGGGCCGGACCCTAGGGAGCCCTCTCTGTAAGAGGTGCCTGCTCCCCAGGCCCACTGAGAGAGAAAGGGGTTGCTTACCACGCCAGCACACCCGGATTTAGATGTTAGGACATGAACATGCACCAGAGTTAGGCAACGGACTTGAGAGGTGAGTCGCCCCAAGGGCAGCTGGAGAGAGCAGGTGAGCAGGCCCTTGGTCTCCACTGCCTCAGGACAGAGCCTGGCATGGCCTGGCAGCCAGCTCTCGCCCGGGGCCTCGCCCCCCAGCACACGCTGCTGTCATGGGGGACTCAGCAGCACAGGAGGAGTGGGCAGCTCAGACACCTGGCGTTGGGGGCAGGCCCGGCACCTGGCCCAGCTGATTTCTAGACCTGAAGCCGAGGGGCACACTTCCAAACACACATCTGAGGGGCCCTGCATTTAGGAAGGGGAGCGGCAAAGGCCTTGGAGACAATCCCAAGAGAGAGGCGTGCTTTCCACAAGGCCCTTGGGGCGTTTGGAGCCTGGCCCTGTGGTGCCACCCCACCCCTCCCCTCCCCTCCCACATCACCACCACAAACCGGGACCGGCCAGGTCAGACGCCCACCTTGACGCCCTCGTTGTAGCTGTCCCCGGGACTGCCGAGACTGGCCAGGCTGCCCAGGTGGCCAGGGGCTCCGGGGCGCGGCGGCTTCTTCGGTGGAGCTGCAGGGTCTGGTAAAGGGAGCGAGTCTGTCAGGGTCTGCACTTGGCGGGGTGAACACAGCCCCCAAATGGGCAGTGGACGGGGGCTGGAGTCAGCAGCGCAGTCCCCAACCTGGGGCATCACAGCAGTGAGCTCTGCTCTCCAGACACTGACCCCAGCTGAGTGGCGACCCAGGCTGCGGTCTGTGCAGGAGGAGGGTTAGGAGCCCCCGGCGCATCCCCCCCTGACGAAGAAACTAGCACATGAGAACGCGTTCCTCCAGACAAGCGTCTTGAGAAATGTTTGCTTCTTCACTCACCTGGTTTGCCCACAGGCTGGTAGATGTGCTGGTTCCCGGTCTGTGGAGAGGAAAGCTCAGTCAGCATACTGCGAGCCCAGGGGACAGGACTTTCCAGACCCCACCCTCCCCAGTGCCCCCTGAGCCCCAGCCGTCGAGGCCTCAGCGGGGAGTGGGGGGAGCAAACAGCAAGGGTACCACAGGGTGGGGTGGGCCGGGCAGGTGAGGCACAGGGCTGGGCGATGGCAGCCTGTGTCAGGACACCACCCTGGCCCCCAGCCCCCACAAGGGTGCATCAAGAACACAGATCACGAGGAGGGGCTCCTAGCATTGGGTCGTTTCTACCACCAGGACCTGGCACCAGGCCTGCAGCACGTCCTGTGGCGGCCCAGAAGCCAACTGCACGCCCCAGGGAGGGGCGAGGTGGCTGGGCCTTCTGGTGCAGCTTAACAAGCGCCCAGGAGGAAGACCGAGCGGAAACCCCGTCTGAGCCACACCCCTCTTTTGAGAAGAGACTTTTTCCATTTATAAGTAATCAGCTGGTTTAAAAATGCACTTCCTTTGTACTGAAAAGAGACCTACACCCGGGGCGCACATGATGGGAGCTGGGGCTCCCGTGCCCTCTCCTGGACGCAGCTGCCAGGAAAGCTCCAGGGGTGCTGGGGCAGGGTGCAAGGGAGGAGGGCTGGACGGCCCACAACTCGAGGTGGCAGGGCAGGGAGGAGCACAGGCAGGAGACATGTGGTGGCAGCAAGGGCGGAGGGGGGTGGTATACGGGAGGAAGGCAGGGGAGGGAGAGCAGTTGGGGAAGGTCCTTCTAAGGATGGTCAGGCCTCTGAGTCCAGGGTCTTTGAGCACAGACATGCCTGGGGAGGCTGTGCAGGCATTTGGGAGAAGACCCCCGCAGGGGCCAGCCTAGTAGCTGAGCGTGTGAGGGCGGAGGAGACGGAGGGCAGTGTGGGAGACTCAGCCCAGATCTCACACAGACAGACACGGCCAGTCGCTGTCCAGCACTGACGCAAACACTAAGAAGGTTTAAACACAAAGACCTTTTTGGTTGATACTTGGCCAACAAGAAAGTTCAATTAACCAGGAAATCCTTTTTCAGAACATTCTGGATCAACTCAAGAAGGCGTGCAGAGTGCACTCTGTGGGCAGTTACAGGCCTGTTCTGGGAGGCAGAGCAGGACGGCCACTTCTCTGGCGAGGAGTCACTCGACCAGCTCCCACTTGTAAACTGAGGCCGGCAACACTCACCAAAGACTGGCCATCACCAAACAGACATGCTGCTAACTTGGCGTAAGGCTTAAAATCCAAATGGCTTCCCTTCCTCTGCAAACAGAGAGGGCCTGGCCCCAGCAGCAGTGACGGTGCCCTCAGCCAGCTCCCCTGCTTCCCAGCTTAGCTTTTCTGCTGGGCACGCCTGGGACTAGCCCCAGGCAAGAGTGTTACAACGACGGAGAGCGAAGGGCAGTGGGTCAGGCCGGACAGGGCTCTTCAAGAAAGGATGGGGGAGGGCATCCCCTGGTGGCTCAGGCGGTTGAGCACCGTGCTGTGAAGCTGCCCGCAGCCTCTGCAGTGCCAGTTCGATCCCGGCCAGCCGGCAAGGGTCCCACATGGTGTGGCAGACCTCTCCTGTCTCGCCCGCTGCTCCCTTCAGCAGCACATGTCATCAGTCTGCCTGTTCTGTCTCTGGTGAATCCGCCCACCCTCCCATGCATCCGGCCTCTACCCCGGTTCTTGTATAAATAAGTAAGCAAATCTTTAAAAAAAAAAAAAAAAAAAAGGATGGGGCCCCTGGATGGAACCCCACCCCCAAGTGGAAAGCCACTGGGCTCCTGCCTGGACGGTGTCTGGAGGGCACTGCAGCAGTGCCCAGGGGCCTGGGTTTACGCATTGGGGACATGGACAGCAGTGGTGCCCGAGGCAGGAGTGCTGAGGACCCGGACAGGACTTGGGGAGCACTCCCTGCTGCTCTGAGCACCCCACATGGGCCTGGCCTGCTGAGCAGATGACACCACAGATCTGGCTGTTTTACAAAGGGGTGCCAAACGGCCCCCCAGCACTAATTCAGTCATGCAGGTTTCTGGGCACCTTTGAGATGCCCACAATCAGACACACAGACCCTGCTTCTCTGAGACATGTTCCTATCAGCCACAGCTGCTCCCCTGAAGGGCGTCACTTTCATCCGATTCTCGCTCCCCCTTCTTAACAACTCGGGAGAGACCGCTGGCCACCCGACAGCCGCTTCACTGCAGGGACAGGGCTCCGCGTGAGAAGTGGGGGTGATGTGCCCATGCACAAAGGGACGCGGGGTGGTTCTGGGCTGGCAGGAGACCAATGCCCCCTCCAGGGCAGATCTGGGGGCTGGATCACAGCACAGAGAGAACGTCATGGCGGGAGGGTCACAGCCTGTGCCCGGAAACACAGGAAGACACCACCTCAGGCGCGCCCACCATGTCTAGGGCAGAACTGGTGGCGCCTTCTGGGGGCGGGAATGTGCCTCCATGGGCTGCGTCCTGCTCTGCACACTTTCCCGTTCACTGGGGTGTCCTTAGGCTCTTAGAGTAACCTGCAATTATTTTACTCAGACACCTGCTGATGGAAGTGCTAAGAGGACAATTTACCCACTCCCCTTGGGAGCAGGGAATGCTCCTGGCAGGCTTGCGCTTACTCAGATGATGCTAAGAGCTCTTCAAAGAGACTCGCAGGCACCTCCCTCACGACACCCAGAAGAAAAGGTTTTTGCTTGAGCAAGTTCTATACGACCACGGAAGTGCACAGCCGTGCAGCGCGAGCGTGGGGTGCTGGCTGTCACCGCACCTCTCCACGGCCAGCACACATTCACCCAGCTCACGACGGAGGCGTATGGGTGATGGCCAGAACCCCACATGCGGGCACGAAGGCTGGCTGTGGCCAGATGTCTTAACTGCATGACATTCCCGTCACCTCTGGGCCAGACGTACTCCCAACCCCGGACAGCGTGGCTGCCGTCTGACATGCAACGCCGGTCCTCGCCAGGGCAACTGGGAGACCCGGTGTCGCTTACCGGGCCCTGCAGACCCCGGTCCGCCCTCGATGCTGCCTCGAGAGAGCCTCACGTCCGGCTTCTAGAGGTGAAAAGAAAGCTAGTTTCACTCTTGGCTTGAACCCCCCGAGATCTGGGTGACGACACCACAGTCTTCTAGAGAAGAGCTGCAAGCTGTGCGGCGGCACAGAGCTGCCAGAACCAGTGGTGACAACCCAGGGCTGAGGCCTCCGAGGAGCCCCCTCCTCACGCTGCCTGGCCACCGCCTGCACCGGAGAGGGCCGGTCTCCGGACCCTCCACCCGGGAGGGAATGGCAGGTGGTGCCACGCCTGGACTTCCTGCATGGCCTCGGCCGCCCTGCCAAAGCAGCACTCAGGGGCAGTGGCACGAGCTCTTCCCAGAGGCAGCCAGAGTACAGAACTGAAGCAGACCTCCGGAGTGAATGTGAACAAGAGCAAGCCAAGTTCACGCGTACCAGGGCAGACAAGGCAGGCTCCGCCCCCAGGCCGCAGGAGCCGGCTGCCAGGGGCTCTCCTGAGTCGCGCACAGAGGCCTCCCCTCTGCCCAGGCACACGGGCTGCACGCCCCTTCTCAGGGACACGCCGTCCTCTCCGCTGTGCCAGTCCCTGTGGCGGAGCCACAGCCATGGCTTCCCTGCACACTGAGCGTGGCTCTCCTGCGAGGCTGCAATCGGCCGCTCGCTGGGAGGCTGGTGGAGAGCATGCATCACAGCTCCCGCCTTTCCAGCTCCACAGTCAGCCCAAGTGTCCCGCCAGCACCAGCTTTCAAACCCGGTATCATGCCTCCGCCCTCGACCATCTCTGCATTGTGGCTGCTGGGCAACGCCTGGGTCCCCAGTTCAGGCTGTCCTGCCCTGGTCTGTGCTGCTCAAGTCCAAACACCCACTGCGGCACCCCAGGCTCTGCCTTGCCTCCCACTCCTGAGACCCCCCCCGAGGGCACAGGGTGGGCTGGAGGTGCAGGGCAGCTGCGGGATGCCCACCATGGACATGGATGGCGGTAAGGAGGGAGTGACCCAGTGAGCGTGTAAAGGTGGGTGCCTGTCCAGGACGGGGACCCTCGAGGTCTCTGCCTTCCCCTGCCTTCCCTAAGGGTGATGCAAGGACATGGCCTCTGAGCTGCTGAAGCCTGGTCGTCGCCTGCCCAGGCCCTGAGCCACAGGGTCTGACAGGTGTCCTCCCAGATGTGCAGATGGCCAGAGGCACACGAAGAAGGCTGGACATGACCCACCACCAGGGAGACGCAAAGCCCCTGGGAAGCAGCTCACACTGCGGGGGGCTCCCATTGACAGCCGAGAAGTGAGGCCTGCCAGGGCTCGAGGAGGGGCCTGGCGCAAGGCTGGCGGGACGTCCCGGGGACAGCCACCATGGGGGACAGCACAGGGTCCTCAGCCATCAGAGCAAGGGGCCCATGTGGGCCAGCAGTCTCCAGCGTGGAGAGGCCCCGCTGTGCCACCACGGCATCGTCCACGGCAGTGAGCCACCAAGACAGGCCGGCTCATCCTAGCTGGGCAGCGGGTTGGGTGCTCGTGCTGCCCAACAGTGGTGTGCCATCCAGCCAGAGGAGGGCCAGGCCCACCTGGATGGCACGGTGGACGTGGAGGCTTGGCACTGATAAGCAAGAGGCAGGAAGACAAACACCCTGACTGGACTTGTGAGCTCTGAAAACCAAACAACAGCCAAGTGTGAGCAGAGCACAGATCAGCGGCTGCCAGAAGTCAAAAGGGAACAAACTTCTAGTCAGAAAGCAAGGAGGCTGGAGCCACCTGAGCTTCCAGAGGTCAAGCAGAGCTGGCCACCAAGACGACGCATGCGCCTGGGAGGCTGGCTGGAGAGGACACTGCGGATGGGCTACAGGGATGGGCCGCTCTGCTCCTGTGTCCGTGACCAGGCTGTGGTTGTGCAGCAGGGCAGCCTTGCTCTCGGGGAACCCACATCTGCGTTCTAAAAGTCCCGTCTGCGGTTTGCCCTCAGGTGATGGGGGAGGTGCACGCGTACACAGGCAGAGTGAGG